GGGGAGGCTGGGGAGGCTGAGGGAAGGCTGGGGAGGCTGAGGGGAGGCTGGGGAGGCTGAGGGGAGGCTGGAGAGGCTGGCCTAAGCATTTGCTATGCAGGTGTGAGGACCTGAGTTCAAACCTCAAGAGCACATAAAGCCAGACACAGAAGCATCCATCTGTAATTTCAGTGGTGAGATGGGAGGCTAGCACAGGAGATTTCCTGGAAGTTTCCAGAACACATAGCTAGGCACATGCAGTGGCAAGTAACAAAGAGACAAGAGACCATGTCTCAGGCAATTTGGACGGAGTGGACTGAAATCTGAGTGCCCTCTCATTTCCACATACACACTGGAGCATATGCATGACACACACACACACACACACACACACACACTCACCTGGAGTGTAAAATCCAGGCACAGATCTGGATTTTACCTTACTCTTTACTCTGTCCTCATCCCCAAGGAAAACGTCAGGAACAGAGTAGGCCTTTAATCAGAAGTCATTGCTGGGCATGGTTGTGCATGCCTGTAATCTCAGCACCAGGAGGCTGAGGCAAGATGGTCTTAGGTTGTACAGCAGGCTGGGAAACACAGGAGGACCAGTCACAAAACAATGCCAACAACAAGCCCCGGACCCCTCCTTACTGATAAGTGAAAGTTCACGAAGGTAATGAGAACATTTTGTATATTTCTTCATCATACCTGAGAGAGAATCCTGAAGCTTACCCCGCACACTCAGGAATTACACAAAAGTATGAAGTCCTCCAAACCAGAAGTTGTGATGAAAGAGATCATCCCAGCTGGGCAGTGGTGGCACACGCCTTTAATCCCAGCACTTGGGAGGCAGAGCCAGGTGGATCTCTGTGAGTTCGAACTCAGCCTGGTCTACAGAGCGAGATCCAAAACAGGCACCAAAACTACACAAAGAAGCCTTGTCTCAGAGATAGATAGAAAGATAGATAGATAGATGAGGCCATCCCAAGAGAGAGCCTGCAATGCAAGCTGTCTATTTCTAAAGGATGAAAGGCTGTTTTTTAAAAACCTATTCATATAGGAGTAATGGCTAAAAGGCTGGGTAAAGCTGATGATAAGCTAATTATGAATACCTTTCCAGGGAAGACATTTTTATACTGCGAGCCCCATAAAAGAATCAAGGAGGTTTTGGAGGAAGAACTTTCTATCAAGAGGGATGAATGCCATGTAAAAAGCCCACCTGCTGGTAAGCCACAAGGAAGTGTGTTTGCTAAATGGATATGAATTTGTCTATTTGATGGCAGCGTGCTTATTTTATTAGTGATGAAATTATAACCATCAAGAGAAGTCAGTTCCTGGGAAATCTTAGCCTTTTTTTTTTTTTTTTTTTTTTTTTGCCTATGTCCAAATCTACATGTAGAGGAAAACGAAGTAGATTTTCAATGTATGTTTTTCTGTCCATACTTGTGAATGATGTTCTTTCTATTTAATAGTAAGTAGAATGTTTCACATGCTTAGGACACACAGTAACATTTTCAGATTATCAATATAGATTTGCTCAATGGCAGGAGTTCCCAAATGTTACATTGTATTGGTTACCCGGGAGTTCGTTAAAAGCAGCTTCCTGGACCGGATGCCTCGACTACCGAGTTCCCGGATGGTCTGTGCTCCTCATGCAGAGACCCTCCCCGCCAACACTGTCCCAGCACACTGTGAGCCACCGAACTAGGTCAAACCACCCATGGATCATTTTAGAAATACACAGTTCATGAGTCACTGACAGTTCTCAGGATAGGTCATGTGATGCCCGTACTCCCTTACAGACATCATTCTGAGATGACAGGCCCCTCATGTCCATGATTTCTTTTCAGCAACTGATCATTTGGAAAGTACTTCCTGGCTTTCAAATAATCAGGTTTTCATTACAATGTTCACGGGGTCCTGAATTTGCCAGAGGAAATACCTAGGTCAGTAAGATGGCTCATAGGGTAAGGTATCTGCTGTGAAAGAAAGCCTTGTTGACCTTGGAAGTTCAATCCTTGGAACCCACAACCCCTAAATTCCCTTCATGTTCCTGGTGTACAATACCCCGACAAAAGAAACTTCAGCAGAGAAAGCTTATGTAACTCACAGCTCTGAGTCACAGTGCATGGCAAGGATGTTGAGGCAGGAACTTGAAGCAGCTGGACATATCCACAGTCAAGAGCAGAGAGAGAAAACGCATGCATGCATACCCACTGCTGAGCTTGCCCTCTGTAATTTAGTCTAGGACTCCAAGCCCAGGGGATGATGCTGCCCATTGTGTGGCTGGGTCTTTGCATGTCAATTAGCATAATCAAGACAGTCCCCACCAACATGCCCCACAGGTCAACCTGATTTTGACAATCTCTCATTGAGAGTCTTCTAGGTGATTCTAGGTTATGTAAAGTTGAAAATTAGAGCTAATCATCACAACATATAAAGGTGGAAAGAGAGAATCAACTCCGTAAAGTTGTCCTGTGCCCTCCACATGCATGCTAAAGCACATACATTCCTTCACATACACCATGCACACATACATACTAATAAAAAGTAAAATAAATGGAGGAACCATGAACCTCAGACTCCAGTGTTCAGAGAACTGGCCATCTCCTGGGGTGGACTGTTCTGGGAAGGTGGGGCGCAGTCCCCTTATGAGTTTCTGACAACCTCAAGGTGTATCATCTAGACCCCAGCCCACTGTGTGTTTCTAAGGAGCCATGGTGTTTACTTTGGGGACTTACTGTATGGCCAATGACACAGAGCATCTTCAAGAAGAGCTTTAAATCTACCCTACATGCTGTGAATAGATGTAGAATGACCTACCGAGCCTACGTGAACTATATTCTTGGTGATTAAGCAACTTTTTCCAAGTAATTATAACAGTTTGGATTCAGCTTTGTTGTTTTTAGGGACCACACAGAAGCTATTTGCCTTACATAACATATTTGCCATTCTCTGAGGAGGAAACAAATGTTGTATCATTCTTACTGAGTGCATTTGACTATAAGACAGCCTAAGAGAATAGGAAATAAATATTCATTTTTCTAAGTATTTTCAAATATTCATTTAGCACGCAGCTATCCAGGCTGCATTTTTATAGCATCCACCAGAGGGCGCACAAAGGTACTATTTTGCCTAGAAAACTTTCCAAGTGTTTTAAAGGGCTAGTCCAGAATAAGGAACTAGTACCCAGAGAGGGTGACAAACTCCTCCTTCCTAGCAGCAGTGTGGGCAGCCCCTAACTAGCCACCAGACCTTCTAGCAGAGTGTGTGGGGACAGACTGATCTTTGAATACCTGATGACAGCTGTAGCTTCTCACACATCATTACTGACAGCCCAGATTCTGCATCCAGCTTTCAAGTATGCGGTAGTAGCTATGTACAGATGCTACCAGTGAGTGCACGTGGCAGGCTGCCTCCGTGTCTTGGTCATCCTTTGTTCCTCCTCTTCCCTGTTGTAAGTACAGTTTGGTCCCCATGAGTTTGCAAACATTTCCAGATTGCAAGTATCCTTTGAAGACCAAAGCCTGTGACTCCTCCAGCACATTCATATTCCCAGTGGCATCTGGCACAGACGTCTACTCCTTTTTTCCCTCTGAAAGCCTCAACGTGGCCTCGGGGCCACCAAGCCCCATTCCCTGAGCTCTGCTCCTATCCCCTTTCCACCTTTTCTCTGTAACTTCTCTGCCTCCACTTGGCCTCTAAAATATGGGTAACTCAGCCCCCTTCTTCTTTTTCGAGACAGGGTCTCTCTATGTAGCCCTGGCTGTCCTGGAACTCTCTGTGTAGCCCAGGCTGGCCTCAAACTCCACTGTGGTCTCCTCAGTCTGTTCTCGACACAGAAACCAGATGGTCTACAAGATGAATCATGTCAGCCACACTCAGACTTCTACAGTGTCTTTTCACCGTTTAAAATTAAATTCTGGTACTTGGGAGGTAGAGGCAGGAGGGTCAGGAATTGAAGGTCGTCTTTGGCTATATCACAAGTTCAAGGCCAACCTGGACTACAGAATTTCCATCTCAAAAAAAAAAAAAATGAAAAAGGCAAACACTAGGGTAAGTCACATTCTCCTGCTCTGGGGTCCTGAAGGATTTTTGGGTTGTCCCGAATTATGCAGTAAGTGGCAGAATCACACTCTACATTCAAGTCTGTCCCAAACCCATTGGCTTTCTACTCAGGATGGTGTCTGGTGACACACAGCCATGACCAGTGGGGTTTGGGCCACTCCTCACCGACTCAGAGTTTAATGTGCCGGATGCTTCTTCCCCAGGGTCTGTGACTCTAAGCTGTCCCGGCTTTCTCCCTGGAACACCTGTTGTCGTTGTTGTTTCTTAAGAACTCTTGGTACCCCCTTTGCCCAACATTCGGGTTTTCCAGGGTGATGTCCACCTCTTCTAGTCTTGTCCCACTCACTCTCCTGGAGTTCCTCCACTGTGACCTTACTAGGACACTCTTGACATTTGCGTCTCTAGGCAGACTCTCTCCCGGGTGGCCCTTAAGCCCTCAGGATCAGCATGTCTAGGACAAAGCTCCTCCCTCCTGACCCCACCACACCTGGCCAGCTTACCCCTCCCCTGCATCAGTATCCACTAAGTGACAGGGCCACTCCAAAGCCCCTCCCTCCGCAGGCAGCTACAGCCCACATCTAATAAGGCTTAGTTTGGCTCAAGATCTCAAACCATTGGCCATATGCTAAGTCCACCCTTCAGATAGTCTATTTTTCTCTCGAGTACATACTGTATCAGAACCAGTTGTCAACATTAAAAAGTCAGGCCCATGCCTGTAATCCAAATACTTGAGTGGAAGCAGGGATAAGCAGGGGTTCAAAGTCATCCTGGCTACACAGAGCCTGAGGCCAGCTTGAGTTATATTAGACCTTGTCTTAAAGAACCAGAAAAGGTGGGCTGAGAGATGGCTCAGCAGTTAAGAGCACTGGCTGCTCTCCCAGAGGACCCTGGTTCAATTCCCAGCACCTACATTGTGGCTCACAACTGTCTGTGACTCCAGTTCCAGGGAATCTGTCACCCTCACAGACATACATGCATGCAAAATACCAATGCATATAAAATAAAAATAAATAATTCTTTTAAAAAATAAAAGAAGAATCAGAACCAGAAAAGGGCCTGGGATACAACTCAGTCGTAGAGCACTTGCCTAGAATGCACAAGGTGCTGGGTTTGATCCCCTCCCCCAGAGTCCTGCAGATTTGTGTATCTGTAATGTATAAGGGGTTCGTTACATACCAGCTGTCAGGTCAAGATCCTGGGAATCACTGAGCAGAAATCAAATCTCTTGAAGTTTTCCTTCCCCTGGTCAAATCTCTGGACATGTTCACACTGGGAGATATGACTCAAAACCGGCCTTTCAAGTTCTCTCCGTTCATCTCTCAGTCCACACACAGCCAAAAGAATCAAAACATATTTTTAAAGATAAGTTTAACTTCCCAGTGAGATCAACCTGAGACAATGGCTAGACTCTTTGGGGGTGGGGAAAGCATGGGTTGTTTTATAATTTTTATTGTATTTTATTTCACTACTTAAAATTTTAATCTTTTTTTAATTATTAAATTTTTAAAATTTATTTTACATACCAACCACAATATTTCCCCTCCCTCCTCTCCTCCCGTTCCCTCCCCCACCTCCTTTCTACCACCCCCTCCACTCCTCTGGAAGGGGCAGGCCTCCCATGGGAGTCAACAAAGCATGGCATATCAAGTTGAGGCAGGACTAAGCTCCTCCCCCTCCATCAAGGCTGAGCAAGGGAATAGGTTCCAAAAAGCCTGCTCGTGTGCCAGGGACAGATCCTGGTCCCCCTGCTAGGGTCCCCACAAACAGACCAAGCTACACAACTGTCAGCCACATGCAGAGGACCTAGGTCGGTCCCACGCAGGCTCCCTAGCTGTTGGTCTAGAGTCCATGAGCTCCCACAAGCTTGGGTCACCTCTCTCTGTGGGTTACCCCATCATGATCTTGACCCCCCCTTGCTTATATAATCCTTCCTTCCTCTCTTCAACTGGACTCCTGGAGCTCAGCCCAGTGCTTGGCTGTGGATCTCTGCATCTGCTTCCATCACTTACAGATGAAGGTTCTATGATGACAATTAGGATAGTCACCAATCCAATCACAGGAGAAGGCCAGTTCAGGCACCCTCTCCACCATTGCTAGGAGTCTTAGCTGGGGTCATCCTTGTGGATTCCTGGGAGTTTCCCTGGCACCAGGTTTCTCCCTAACCCCACAATGGCCCCTTTTGTCAAGTTATTTCCTTCATTGCTCTCCCTCTCTGTCCCTCCCCCAACTCGACCATCCCCATCCCTCATGTTCCCATCCCCCATCCTCTCTTCTTTACTGCCCCCCCCCCAGTTTACCCAGAAGATCACATCTATTTCTCCTTCCCAGGGTGATCCATGCGTCCCTCTTAGGGTCCTTCTTGTTAGCTAGCTTCTCTGGGGTTGTGGATTGTAGCCTGGTCATCCCTTGCTTTACATCTAATATTCACTTATGAGTGGGTACATACCATGTTTTGCCTTTCGGATCTGGGTTACCTCACTCAGGATGATTTTTTTCCCTAGTTCTATACATTTGCCTGCAAATTTCATGATGTCATTGTTTTTCTCTGCTGAGAAGTACTCCACTGTGTAAATATACCACATTTTTTTTTTATTTATTCTTCTGTTGAGGGGCATCTAGGTTGTTTCCAGGTTCTGACTATTACGAATATGCTGCTATGAACATAGTTGTGCAAGTGTCCTTGTGGTATGGTGTTTTATAATTTTTAAATTTAGGATAAAAATCCACAGAAAAAGGTCTCTGGATAGAAATGATCCAAGGACATGAGGAGAGAAAAGAATCTAGAAGGTTCTAGGACAGGATCTGCATCTTTTGTGCCTGCTGCTCTCTTCCCTCCCTCGACAGGTGTGCCAGCTCTGAGGCCTTTCGGCTCTGTCCCTGCCTGTCCTCTGGCTACCTTCTTAAAGCTGCATGCCTGGAACACAGGGAGGTCGCTTCCCCCAAAGGGCAGCTGCCCTAAGGCTTCAGCGCTTCTCCTGTTCCACTTGGATACCTCAGCTCTGGTAACTTCTTCACCCAAACAGCACATCCCATAAACAGTGTTGTTGATAGTTTTCTATCAGCCTCCATCTCCGAAGCAGTCATCACTTGTGCACAACTGTGTTTGACTTGGCGGTTTTTAAGACTTCTTAGCATCTTCATGTGCATTTTGGGTGTTTTCTGTTCCCTTGTAACCGTTAGCACCCCGTGAAGTGCATCAGAAGGAGCAGAGCCAAAGAAGGCCGGTGCAACACTTCGTATCCAGTTCAGTGGCCGGTCTGCCGAACCCTGCCTCAGAGCCTGGACTGCTTTCTACCGAAATAGGGCAAATCCGAAGCTATTATTGGCCTCTCACGGGCTGTCTTCACCTGCTCTTGGGAGCAGCGGCTGGGAGAAGCCTTTCCTCTCTCTAGACAGGACAGAAGAGGAAACCGGCTGGAGCGGGAGAGGAGATTTAGGTTAGATACGAAGAACCTTTCGGTTTTGTAAGATCTCGACAGAAAGAGATTGTGAAGTCTTCCTTTAAGGACCTAGAAAAAGGATGACACTCATCTCGACAGGCAGCTTTAGCTACTGCCCTGGGCTAGCACTCAGTTTGGCAAGCCCTCTGAGCTGCGGCTGTGGAGATAGAGCCAGAGGCCACACTGGGACAGTGAAGTCACTGTCCTCGTGAAGATGATAGCAACCTTTTATTAAACACAAAGCACTCTGTATCATCTCATCCCCATCCGAGAAGAGCCTTCCGAGGTGGTGGTAGTCTCCTTGTTTCAAATCTCAGGAAGCAGACACAGTAGGTTTGAACAGTCGGTGCAGGCCTCACCGCTGCTGCAGGGAGAGCTGGGCCTGAAGCCCCACTCTGGGCCCAGAGATCGCACTCCTTCCTGGGCAGTACTTACTGTGCAACCTTTTAGGGAGACGCCAAGTGTCGTGAGAGTGTCAGTGAGACCGCCGTGGACACAGAGCCCTGGGTCTGTGGAGAATACTCAGCAATACAATTTACATGCTCAAAGTCAGAACAAGAAGTCAGCAGCTCACCTGAGCTCACTACCTCAGTCAGCGTCGGCTGCGCTTTTCTCTGTGGTTAAATTGTCTTAGAGAGGGTTGCTGTTGCCGTGATAAACTCCATGAGCAAAGCACCTGAGGAGGCAAGGATTCTTTCAGCTCATTACTCTCAGGTCACACTTCATCCATAAGGGAGGTCAAGGCAGGAGCTAATGCAGAGGCTGTGGAGGGACATTGCTTCTGGCTCACTCTGTGCTTTCTCATATACCCCAGGGCCACCTGCTCAAGTGTGACACCACCTACAGTGAGCTGGGCCCTCCCTCATCTATCATCTATCAAGAAAATGCCCCCCCAGGCTTGCCCAGACGCCAGTCTAGTGCTGGAATTACTCAGTGAGGTTCCTCTCCCCCAGTGACCCTAGCTGTGTCTCACCGACATAAAACTAGCCAGCACAGAAGTTAAAGAAATACGTAAACAGATGATTTTAGGATACAGAGGGGATCCAAGTACAAAGCATTAGCACACAGCATTAGTAATACTTAGACATGTGCTAATGTGCAGACACCCTTTTCAGGACTCCAGACCTGTCATTTGCCGGGTGACAGTACAGACACCATTTCCCAGGTGTTCAACCGTAACAGCAGAGCCAGTGAGCTGTGGATTTTTCATGGGGACTTTAAGCCACACCTGGCTCATGGCTTTTAAAAGATTTCTTCAGTCTTGTGAATGGTTTTCTTATTTGTGGAAATATTTCCACTTATTGAGGGAATTGAATTAGAATCAGCTATGGAAAACTGAATAGTATACAGAATTTATTTTATTTATTCTTGATTCTTTTGTTTTGCAATATGTTACTGTATTGACTTGCCATGTCTTTGTGGAGACTCAAATGTAACAGCATATAGTGATTTAATTCCATGTAGTAATAGTTGGATGCATGAAACGTGTTAAAGAATAAATAGATGAGAAAACCCTAGGGTGGCTTGATTAATTAAGTCAAATATACCTCTACCCAATTAACTGAAAGGAAAGTACTTTTGAAACACTTTGTGCTGGGAAGAGAATACACTACTCACCATCATTGTCTTGTTTTTAAAATGTTCACAGTGGCCCTGGATGGAATTTGGAGCATTAAAAGGAATCTCCCTGTGGGAGGCATGATACCAGGACAGCAGAGCAGAAACAGTTCACTCCCACAAGCCAAGTACTATTCAAGGCATGGAGGGCTGAGAAGTAAGACCCCTGTTCCCTTGACTCCCGCAGGCGCCCTGGGGGACTGCTCAGCTTGCGAACAGGTGGCACACCACGAAGACCCTCAGCCAAAGCCAGCCTCCCTGCCCCGCTTCTGTCAGGTCACATTTTACTTACCTACTTTGTCCACCTGGGACTCATGCAGTTCAGCTGAGAAGCACACCTCTACAGACAGCAGAGAAGTTCATATCTAGACTTACACATCTGACTCTTTCCTTTACTTCTTATGCACAAGAGTTTCTGGTACACAGCCAGGCTCTAAGGGAGGCATCATGGGCATCCCTTTCTTCTGAAGGTGATGAAAGGGAGGTGAGGGAATTAAGGAGGGGCTGGGCAAGTCTTTTGCCCAGGCGAAAGTTTCACCTTACTCAAGGTACGTGGGTCACCTGCATAGTGCACTCTTCAGAAGACATAAGCTCAGAGAGAAGCATTCCTCACTCCTTACGGTCACAGTGTCTATTTGTCACAACATCTGTAGCAGAATATGGAAAGGAGACAGGGGTCTGACACGGGAGCAATGTGCAGATAGTGCAGGGACACACAGCTGGCGCATGAGTCTTGAGTCCTGCACATCAGTCCACAACTGGGAGGTGACCCTGGGTGGAAAAACAGCAGCACACAGAAGCCAAGCGTGGGCGTCCTTTTCTTTTCTTTTCTTTTCTTTTCTTTTCTTTTCTTTTCTTTTCTTTTCTTTTCTTTTCTTCTTTCTTTTTAAAGATATTTTAATTATAAGTGTGTGTGTGTGTGTGTGTGTGTGTGTGTGTGTGTGTGTGTGTGTGTCTGTGTTTGCTAAGTGCCCATAGAGGTCAGAAATCAGAAACAGGATTAGATCTTTTGGAGCTTGAGTTAAAGTCATTTTATGATGTAGATGTTGGGATCCACACTCCAGTCCTCAGTTAGAGCAGTGCATGCTCTTAATCACTGAGTCAGCCCCAGAATATGTGTTCTTTGTTTTCTTTTTCTCTCTTTTTTTTTTTAAGACATGGTTTCTCTGTGTATCTTTGGAGCCTGTTCTAGAACTCATTCTGTAGACCAGGTTGACCTGAACTCACAGAGATCTGCCTGCCTCTGCCTTCCAGTGCTGGGATTAAAGGCACGTGCTACCACTGCCCGGCAGAATATGGATTCTTAGCCAGGATATGAATCACCTCAGCAAATGCTATAAACACTATTGTTTCAGATTCTTAACATGTTATTTTATTTAAGCATTACACCAACCATAAGGAATAGACAGAATCCATTTTCCAGATGAGGATATTGAGGCACAGAAAGAATGAAGAATTTATCCGGTGCTACTTAGCTATTGAGAGGAAGTCCTTGCTTTGAATCCAGGAAGCCCATCTCCAGAGCCCAAGCCCTCAACCATGAGGTGCTCCTGTGCCCAGAGCCTGGAAACTGGGATATCTACTGACCCTAAGTGACATGTGGGCACAACACAAGTACCACAAAAGAGAAGGCCGGAACAGGTTTGTGCAATATGAATGATGCAGCTACCGAGAACTAAGACAAAAGATTGAAGGATAGAATAAAACAAGACTCAGCCACGGAGCATGGGGTGGCAATAATAAAGCAGTTGCCATTATTTACCACATGCAAGGCAGGACAGCAAGCATTTTACATAGTTGTATAGCCCACATGATCAAAAGTTGAGGATGATATGCTCCATCTTCCAGGCAAGAGAATTTGGTGACAGGAAGGACATGGTCCCTATTCTGATGGTGTAGTGGAAATTACCAGTCTAAGCCCCTGGGGCTTCCAAGACTGTGCCGTAACCCACTGGCCATCGTTACAGAGATTCTGGTCACTGGACAATAGGGTGGAACCATCAAGTCACATAGCTGTGGTTAACCAGGCACAAATACCAGGGCCGTGGCAAGGCAGCATTAGAATCTGAGAGGTGAGCACATTTACAACCCACAGAGAAATCAGTGATTTTAGTAAACCTGATTTAACCTGTAATCCCTGGAACTCACTGGCCAGGCAGCCCAGCCAAATCAATGAACTCCAGGTTCAAGGGAGAGACCCTGTCTCAAAGAATAAGGTGGGGACAATCCAGAAACACCAACACTGACCCCTGGCCTCCATTGTCACATGTACATGTGTGTACACACAGTCTCATGCATACCTCTCCCCCAGTGTGTGTGTGTGTGTGTGTGTGTGTGTGTGTGTGTGTGTGTGTGTTCAAGATAGTGTGACTTTCCCAAGTTTACAGTCATGGCTATTCAGCTAGTCCTGAAGCCTGCCGTAGGGACTCCACAGCACCTGTCTCATCTGTCTGTCCTCATCACATCCCAGGGGTTGTTCACCTGCTCTCATCACTTGCTTAGTCTGCATCGTGCTAACAAACCAAAACAGAAAGGAAGTCAATTAGCCACTGCTAAGCCTGAACATGCCCATGAATTACGTGGGTTCCTTATGACAACTCGATTCTGCTTCAAGTCAGGTGGGGTCCCAGGCGATTTCAGGACAGCACCTGAGTAATGCTGGCACTGCCCAGACCACGCTCCAGCAGGGGGCTCAGTGGCTGGACTGTGGCTCAGAACGCAGCACATGGCTTTCCTGCTCCGCTCTGCCTGTGGACCACCGTGAGGATGGTGGTGTTTGGGTTCAATCTAACCAAACTTGGGTTGAAACGGGGTTAAAGATCATCTCCCCAAATAAAACACATTTGCTCACATATTCTTTTTCTCACTCTAGGATAAGATGAACACATCCTTCCACAGAGATGGAACTTTCGTTCTCCTAATGTCCAAAGACAGAAAGAAACTCAAGCTTGTTTCTCAATCTAAGATGTATGGAAAAAAGTTTTTTAGTCTGTAATACCAATATATAAATCAGTCCAAGCCACAAAATACTATTGGGAAAATGTGCTAAGAAAAATATACTTGTTTTTAGTTTTCACAGTTGGGATGTATTAAGCTTCTGTTCAGCTTATTCTATTAAATGTATCAAACAAAGGCACAGCTCTTCATTTCAAATTAAACATTATAAAATCGAAACTCTACTTGTAGTGCAATGGGCTAACCCACTTCCTGTTTGGTATAGAGGGTGGTCCAGACATGGGTGACCCAGAGCAGAATGCACAGTAGTGAATGACAAATGAAAGAGCTTTGGTTCAAAGACAATTATTTTCTTACAGCTCAGTAGAGTTCATTGTTTCTCTAGAATTTGCTTACTAAGTGGCGAGGAGCCAGGCTATCTATCTATTACATTTACATGAATATATATATATATTCATGAATATATATATATATATTCATATATACATGACATATATACTCATAAGATTATATATATATATTCATATATACATGAATATATATATATATATATATATATATATATATATAATCTTATGAGTTTGAAAAGAGTTTAACGAGAGGAGAAAAATTCTTTCACCCATTTTACAGACAGGGTCACATGGTTTGGAAAAATTGGAAGATAAAGAAACGTGAAGGAAGGCAGGAGAGACGGCCCCACCATTGAGAGCATTTGCTGTTCTCACAGAGAATCCATTACTCACACAATGAATCCTAACTGTCATTCCAGTTCTAGAGAACCTGACACCCTCTTCTAGCCTCTGTGGCCACTACAAGCATGTGATACATAAACATACATGCCGACATAACATCTACACACATAAAGTAAAAATAAATCTAAAAAAATTAAAAAACTGTAAGCTGGGCAGTGGTGATGCATGTCTTCAATCCCAGAAAAAAAGATTGTGAAGGAAGCCTACCTGGGAATGTAACTTGGTGGATAGAGTCCTTGTCTTGCATGCCTGAAGCCATGGTTCTGTGGTAAACATTGGGTGTCCAGCGCTTGAGAGGCGGAGGCAGGAGGATCCGAGTTAAAGATCATCCTTGACTACACAATGAGTTTGAGGCCAGTGTGAGCTACATGAGATTAACCCAAACAACAACAACAGAAATACAAAGGAAAAAATGTGAGCTTCCAGAGTCATGAGCAGCACACTGCGACATTCTACCCTCTTCTTCTACGCTTATTTTGGTACTTGTTTGACATCATGCTGTAGAGCAGTGATTCTCAACTTGTGGGTCATGACCCCTGTGGGGCCAAATGACCCTTTCACAGGGGTCACACATCAGATATCCTGCATATCAGATACCTATATTTGATTCATAACAGTAGCAAATTTACAGTTATGAAGTAGCAATAAAAATAATTTTATGGTTCCAAGTCACCACAACAGGAGGAACTGTATTAAAGGGCCATAGGAGGGTTGAAAATCACTGGAGTATATACATTTATTATTCTATTTAATGGAACAATGCTTAACTTCCAATTCATTTATGCATTATAAATAATTGCACAAAAATGTGTATAAAGTTGAATGTGGTTACTCCAGCCTGTAATCTTAGTATTTGGGGGCTAAGGCAGGAGGATTGCCAAGAGTTTGAGGCTGGCTTAGGCTACATGGTGAGTTCTAGGCCAGCCCAGCGACAGAGGGAGACCTCTCAAAACAACAGCACATTGTACTTAATTTACTCATGTGTTGGTCTGTTTGCTTGGAGTTTGGGCTTTTCCGGGTTTGTACTATAACATCAGTTGTGATTATCTGACGGTAAAGACTCTGTCTCTCTCGAGTTTTCCAGCTTGTGCTGCCGTGTTCTCCCCCCGGAACATAGGCTCACTTAAGCCCACTCAGTTCCCATTCTCAAGTCCAGCTCTGCTTCTAATGGAATGAAGTGAACAGCAATTTGCTCTCTGGTCTGCCCTGCCCCTGCGTAGAGTTATCCACACTGAAACAGTCGGTGTCTTGAGTCAAGATCCAAACTTTTCCAGGCTAAATACAAAATTTTCCATTTAGTTAAAGCGCCCTGAATGAGGTGTGTGTGTATGACAAGGGGTGGGTATGGGTGTGTCTGCAGCCACCACCATGTTCCGGAACTCGTCATCACTGTTTACTTCAAAAACAGCACCATGAGCCAGAAGTGGAAGTCCAGAGACTGCGTCTTCAAGTGGTCAAGAAACACCAGAAACGGCTGAGAGTTAGGGCCAAGCACCGACATCCTACAGGTCTAAAATCGCAAGCTCCCATCTTTCTTCCCAAGGATGTCCCCTTCTGTGAGTGTGTGCACGTGGAGAGAAGACACACCAGCTCAGAGTCACCCAGCAGAAATGACACCCTGCTCCTACTTAGGTTCCCAATGTGACGTTACAAACATGCTCAGAGATTTCCGTTCTCACCACTTTACTAATAAACAAGTCCTCCACCCCACACCCTGAATTTCAGGTTTGCTGCCTTCTCTGATCTGCCTCTAGTGCTGGCAAGCAGCAGCTCCAGGCATGGCCTTCTGCTTTCTATCCTTATTGCTCCAGGGCCAGGCTGCTTTTACAGTTAAACACCATACTTACGGTCACTGCCTCATTTCCCAAGCAGACAGATACAGAGGCTTTTGAAAAACCAGCATCATTTATAATATCAAGTAACAAAACCACCTCAATGTCCACCACATGGGTGATTTTGAAACAAGCCCATTCATGGAGTGACCAATTTGTCAGGATTCTAGTTCTTTTAAGAATTTAAATAGCAGCCGGGCAGTGGTGGTGCACGCCTTTAATCCCAGCATGCAAGAGGCAGAGACAGGCAGATTTCTGTGAGTTTGAGGCCAGCCTGCTCTACAGAGCGAGATCCAGGACAGGCACCAAAACTACACAGAGAAGCCCTGTCTCGAAAAACAAAAACAAAAAATAAAAATAAAAAAAATAAATGGAAAAAAGAAAAAGAAAGAAAGAAAGAAAGAAAGAAAGAAAGAAAGAAAGAAAGAAAGAAAGAAAGAAAGAAAGAAAGAAAGAGTTTAAATAGTCAAACACGGAAG